TTTTTGGGGGGGGAATACACCACTGATCCTGATGAAAAGGCATATATAGTGTTACTCCCACTGGATCTGTGTTCTTAATATCCTGAAGGGTTTAGCAAAAATAAACTCTCAGATTGTGCAGTATATACACAAACAAACGATTGCTGCCCTGACCTTATATGGGCCTGCTCATCTTGGTTGTGGACTTTTCCCACAATAATCAATGAATGTACAATAGTACATGATCATTCTCATATTTTAAAACATGAACATTGTATAAAAACACTTTAAGCATATACAGGAGAATGGAAGTAATATACAGGTCAAAGCACTCCTCATAAATCTTCAAAGGCTTTTTTAACACAAATAGATATTTAAAAATGAATATTTCAATTAGAAACAGGGTGGCAGGTTCTATATAACCCTTGGAGTAGTTGGAGTATTTTAAAGAAAGGTCTGATTCCCATGCCCTAACAATTCTAGATTGTGGATCAGAGTACATCTGATTTGCATTATAACTTACCTCTAGACTGTCACAGACTCCCAATCAATTTGATAATATAGATTTGTTTATATATTTCATTTATTTGAACATAGTGCACAGACTCATATTTTGCAACATTTGTGTGTTAATATTCTAGGGAGAATTAGAGGATAGCAGCACACCTAGAAATGTGCAGTTTTTAGTATATTTTAGTATTGTGCAAACTCTTAATACAGCACCTAAGATGTAGATTCCAAAAACGTAAAATTGGCACATCTCTTAAACGGCACTGTAGCTTCATAAAATAATGCCAAAGACATACATTTACTCAGAAGAGTTAGTGGAGCATAATCTGGGGGGTTTAATCATAGAGCTACACATCAAAAATACAAAATGCTCAGCAAAAGTGTAATGCATATTGTGACAAACTTACGTCCCTGTGTGTGTTTGTCCAGGATCTTTTGGTAACTGCACAGCCCTCTAGGGTAAGGAAGCCAGGTGAAGACAAAGTCCAATTTCAAAGGCCTCTGGTCTGTTTATTTTCTGTTAAGAATCAGGATACAACAGGATACAACAGGATACAACAGGATACAACAGGATACAACAGGATACAACAGGATACAACAGGATACAACAGGATACAACAGGATACAACAGGATACAACAGGATACAACAGGATACAACAGGATACAAACCTTTCTCCACAAAACACTTCCCTCACTCCACCCTGCTTTAACAGCAGTTATAAAGCTGCTCACATCCCCTACATGTGAGGCTAATGACCTCGTTAGGCAGCGAGCCAGAACTCCTCAGAATACCTGGGCTGGACTCATGCACAGCCACTCTGACAGTGGGTGGAGAATCTGCCCACCCTGCTCTTCCGAGTACTCCACCCCAGGGACCCAAATAACAAAAAAAACCTACATTTAAACCTAACTTTCCCTGGGGCTGCATGTGCTTACCCATGTGTCAGGACAGTGGCTGCACAAAAGTCTGGGTGCCAGATATACACCCCTGACCACCATCCCCAACACTGTTACAATATGTAAAAAAAATGCAAAAAACATTTTTACCATACATTTGGACATAAAGTGGTGAGAAAATGTGAGCATGTTAAGGCACAATATACAACATATGAGATACCCTGGAGCATCTACTCACAAATGGTAGGTCATTATGAAGTTATTTGAACAGTCAAACTATTATAATGTCTCAAAATGAGACAGAGTCGCAATAGATCATCTATGAAAACTAAAAAACAGAAACAGCCAGGACTCTTATATGGCATTGTAGCTTAACAATATAGTGACAATGGCATGCAATGGGGGTATCAGTGACAGATTGACAGTGACAGATCGCCCTGTCACTGATTATACTCTTTCAATTGGTTTTTCCCTCTGTTGTTCGGTTACCGAACAAAATACTATTTTCTTCTTTTACACCCCCAGTATCCAGACCACCAACTGGCTCATTAACCTTTTTTATACCCATGTCTTTGATTTGCAGTAGGTGATTATGGTGTGAGTCTCCTTCCTAATGTTTATTTCCTCAAAGTACACGTTCCTGGACTTCATTTGCCCTGTGACTATGGCCCCTGGGGTGTATTGCCTTTTAAAAACTCCATTTGTGCATATTGGATTCTAAAGTACTGTTTCTGCCCCTTTAGCAATTATTGGAAAGGATTTGCACTTTCGAAGTGGCACTTCGGATACAGCCATTTTAATTCAGTCGAACGCGTTCAGCGGTGTTTGGTCGTCGAGTTCATGGAACTCAAATCGGATACGTGATGGCACGAACACCGCTGAACTTAGTATTTGAACTACTGGAAATAGACCGGCCGCACAGCCAAATTCTCTGGAACGGTTTTGGGCATGAAAATGTGGGGCATGAATATGACTTCCACAAAACTTTTGAACCCCTGCTCTGATCTGGGTGATTTTTGGATATGTTGTTTGCCCAGATCAGAGCTGTCCAGGGATGTATATATGTTTGTGTTTTGGGGTGGGGGGATAAGATGGTAATTTAAAGTCCAGCAATACTGCTTGGGTTAGGGTTAGATACAGCTAGAGTTAGTAAGTGGTAAGTGGTAGTTAAGGTGAGGGCTAACTAAGGTTAAGGAATAAGGGTGTGATAGCTCGTCTCACCCTGGTCCTACCAATTTTAATGGCATACTGCCAGAGGTGTGGGTCTGCCACCTCAGAGAGAAATCATCGCTAAGGCCGGCATCAAGCTATATATCCCCCAACTGGGCAGGCCCATGTGCCAATGCATACTACTTGCAGCCAGGTATCGACCCCTCAGTCAGTCCAGCTTCTCCCAGGCAGGTATTAACCTCTCTGCCTGAGTTACTTTCAAATACTGCCTTTACAATAGTGGCTCACAAGCTTAGCTCTTGCACCATCTTAACTAACACAATGTTGTCCCTCAGGCCAACTCTTTTCTTAAAATCCCCGATACCAGGGAACAGTGTAACCAGACAGCAGGTTCTGAAACTCTGCTACTGGAATTTCTGAAAGAACCAGAAAGGACACACAACTCACAACATAACTACCACGCATTTCTTTATTTTGAAAAAGGACTAGCCATTGCTGACCTGTCCTTAAAGAGACACTATACTCACCAAAACAACTTATGCTTAATGAAGCAGTTTTGGTGTATAGCTCATAACTCTGCACTGCTCAATTCTTTGCTATTTATGCATTAGATTGCTTTCTTTATGCAGCCCTGGTCACACCTCCATGCATGTGCCTACACAGCCTTCCTAAACACTTCCTGTAAAGAGTCATCTAATGTTTACATTTCATTTATTGCAAATTCTGTTTAATTCAGAGTTTCTTATCTTCTCCACTTTTAATAGCCTACTAGACCCTGTAGGAGCCTCCTGCATGTAAAGTTCAATTTACAGTGCCGGAGACTATTTTTTTCATGCAGGCTGTGTCAGTCAAAGTCAGGTTTGGTGTGATTAGGGCTGCATGAACAGATACAATAGTGATTTAACTCCTAAATGGAAGATAATTGAGCAGTGAGACTGCAGAGGCAAGATTTATACACCAAAACAGCTCTATTAAGCTAAAGTTGTTTTGTGCTTATAGTATCCCTTTAAGCATGTGGTGAAAAGTATTTAAAGAGCAAACAACATAATAAAATTCCACATACCTAACATATGGAAAATCAGAGATAAGCAGATGTGACTGATTAGTTGTGTGTCATTTCATAATTTGCATATTTATACAAATCACTGCATTTCAGATTGACCAATTGAGGGTACTGGAGATTGGTCACATATGCTTATTTAGGACTTGCATTAGACATGGTTAGGATTTGATAAGATTGAATAGGGCTACGGTAAGCTAAAAGTGACCAAGTGAAAATACTCAAAATTCTCCATATTACATTGATTACATTGTCTTATTTTGCAAATTGTATGCCATGAGAAGGTAGTTGGTGCTTAATTTTTTTGTCCCAAAAGGAACATGATAGAATAAATGCAAAGTCTCGGTGTGTAACCCAAATAATTATCAAGTTACTCAGAATGCCTGTGTGGTAACCTCTCTACCCACACAAAAACAAATAGCATATACATACACAATAGGTGAAGTATAGTTGGTTTTTGGGTAAATGATGTAAAATGATATACAGGAATGCAGTAATTCACACTGTGAAAACAATACTTTTGTTTTCACAGTGCAAATTACTGCATTCCTGTATATCATTTTACATAATTTATCCAAAAACCAACTATACTCCACCTATTGTGTATGTAAATGCCAAAAGGAACATGGGCCAAGTAAATTGATTGGTGATATATATTTTTTTTAATTCTGTATTAAAAAAAAAAGCCGTGGTGCCACAATAGCATTCATGTGCACATTTTCAACATTACATGTCACATATGGCACATATAAGGTCTGCACAATTTTTTTATAGGGATAGTGATAGTGGTAAGGTAGTTAAGCATATTGTGCTCCCGCCATATTCCCCACTTGTGTTTTCAGTTTAATCAGTTGGAGCATAAAGATAGGCATAGTTTAGGATTACGTTTTGTTTCACATATTTTGCACAACATATAGTTAAAGATATACAGGTTATAATCCTCTGAGTGTGTGATCTCTAGTGTGTCATTTGGACTTAGTAGTTTAACTCTGGCTTGGTTTACCTCGGGCGCCACCCTGGAGTGTGTGGAGTTTGTGGGGTTGGTTTGCCTTACCTCCCCTGGACGAGTCTGGAGTCTGTTTGAGTAATATTGATGAGTTTGTCATGGCTTGTGTGCATTGTAGTTGTCTGCGGTAGTGTGTCTGCCTTGAGTGGTGTTCTGTGTTGCGTGTGTGTGTTACTCTGCCTGCTGTGTGTGCTGGTTTTTGCTGTTCGAGTCCTAGCATGTGTGGGTCTGTGGGTACCGTCAGTGTCAGTGTGTGGAGGGCTGGAGCAGCATTTTAGTGTCCCTTTTATAGTCCAGGAACAGCGTCCATTGTTAGCCGGTGCTTGGTCTCGGTAGTGGGCTTGGAGGGCCACAAGGGACCCGATGGCAGAGTCCAGTTACGCGTTTCTCGGAACCTTGGGCACTCCTGGGGGCCTGCTTCTGAGGCTTTTGGTGGAAGTACTTTCTTTGAAGGCCACAGTCCTTCCCGTGAAGTGGCTGTTGTAGATCTTGATGTGGGGTGTCCCCCTGTGTTGTCGGGTCCGCCGTTTCTTTGATGTTTGTGTTTGTGGCTGGTGCTTCTGGTCGGCTGCAATCTGAGAGGGCTCGTGAGGTAAGCTTGCGTGGTTCATGCGCTACAGGCGCCCGGGGGGGTTCCCCTCGTTTCCCGCCCTCGGTTTTGTGGCCTGCGAGCACTTGCCGATGTTTGTTGCCGCTTAGGGTAGGGTGCTGGCCTGTCATGGGGACTTGTCTGCCAACCGGCTTTGCTTTCTGGCGGGCCCTGCAGTACTTGATGGGTCCTTCTTTGTTTGTCCACGTGGATGCGGGCTTTCTGCCATTTTGGAGAGCTCCGTCTGGGTTGTGCCTTGCGGCCCGGTTTGTATTTGGGCTCAGCAGACGTCCTTGGTGCTCGCCCGTGGGGACCGGGATAACCCCCACCGGTCCAAAGGGGGGGGGGTCGCAGGATGCCGTTCGGAGACCCAGGGATGCAGCCGTCCCTCCCCGGCTCAAGCTCGCATAGGCCCCAGGCTTTGGTCGGGTTACTCCAGTGCCGTACCGTGGCATGTCTGTGTCCATATCTTGTGAGCAGTTTGGTTGCCGATTTTGGTCGTGGCACTGAGTTGGCTCCGATTCTCTGGCCCAGATACTGGAGCTCAGACGAAACACGTCTGATCTGTTCAGCGGTCAGGCTCCGCCCCCGATTGGTGATATTTGAAATTTGAAAACTGAAGTTTGCATGTCTGTAAATTCTCCCTATAAATTCTCAAAAATCTGTAATTTTGGATATTCAGTACTAATGTACAGTTATAATTTCCACACTCTTTATGCAACAGTATCTATATAATACTGTATCGACTTTGTATTCAACATTCCATGACATTAATGTGTGGCTGTTAAAGGACCACTATAGGCACCCAGACCACTTCAGCTTAATGAAGTGGTCTGGGTGCCAGGTCCATCTAGGATTAACCCTGCCTGCTGTAAACATAGCAGTTTTCAGAGAAACTGCTATGTTTACATTAGGGTTAATCCAGCCTCTAGTGCAGGGGTTCTCAACGTTAGTCCTCAGGACCCCCTACCAGTCCAGGATTTGGGGATTACCTGAGTGTGTCTAAGGTGTTTAGAAAAAAAAACACCTTAGAGTCTAAGGTGTTTTTTCCCCTTTTTCTAAACACCTGAGACACACCCAGGTAATCCCCAAATCCTGGACTGGTAGGGGGTCCTGAGGACTGGGTTGAGAACCCCTGCTCTAGTGGATGGCTCATTGACAGCCGCTAGAGGCGCTTCCGTGCTTCTCACTGTGATTTTCACAGTGAGAAGATGCCAGCGTCCATAGGAAAGCATTGAGAAATGCTTTCCTATGGAATGACTGAATGTGTGCGTGGCTCTTGTCTATTTAGATGATATATTGATCTACTCTAAAAGCATGAACGAACACCATAAACACGTCAGGTTGGTTCTTTCTAAATTATTAGAAAACAGACTATACTGTAAGCTAGAGAAATGTTTGTTTGACAAAGACGAAGTGCATTTCCTAGGTTACATAATATCAGGGACTGGCTTTCAAATGGAACCAAAAAAGCTGGAAGCTATCCAGCAATGGCCCTTACCCGTTGGACTCAATGCCATCCAACGCTTCCTGGGGTTTTGCAAATTATTACAGGAAATTTATTAAGGGATTTTCCTCTATAACCGCCCCTATCACTGCCATGACAAAAAAGAGAAGGAATCATATGGAGTGGGGTCTCGAGGCTAAGGAAACTTTTGAGAGGTTAAAATAAGCTTTTTCCTCAGCCCCAGTACTAAGACATCCCAATCCTTCCCGTCCTTTTCTACTAGAGGTGGATGCATCAGAAACGGATATAAGAGCTGTATTGTCTCAAAGACCCTCAGATGATCAACCTCTACATCCCTGTGGATTTTTTTCTAAGAAGTTAACGGAAACTGAAAAAAGATATGATATCAGGGATAGGGAATTGTTGGCTATTATTTCAGCTCTTAATGAATGGCGTCTCTTGCTAGAAGGGTCGTCTGTCTCTATTACCATTCTTACTGACCATAAGAACCTTTCTTATTTCGGAGAAGCCAAAAGAATTTCCGACAGGCAAATCCAGTGGTCCTTATTTTTAACTCGTTTCAATTACATTGTAACATATAGACCTGGATCAAAAAATACTAAGGCTGATGCCCTATCCCACCAATATGAACATTTACCACCTCCCGAAACCCAGTTGTCCTCCATAATCTCTGCTGATCACATAGTAGCCACTGTCCATGCCAAAATCTCTTCAGGGGTTGATAGAGGAACTATCCAAATTCCAGGATCATACTTCATTGACTGTTCCCCAGGGAAAATCGTACGTGCCCTTAGCCTGTAGAAAAGAGTCCTGTGCATGACTCCAAACTGGCAGGGCATCCGGGTATACATAAAACTGAATCGTTACTTGAAAAACAATTCTGGTGGCCTTCATAGAAGAAGGATGTTCGTGAATTTGTTCTTGCCTGTAGTATCTGTTCCTCTACTAAATCACCCAAAGGTCATCCTTTTGGTCTTCTCTTGCCATTGGCAATTCCAGATATACCCTGGTCGAGTATTGCCATGGATTTTGTAGTTAACCTGTCTCGTTCTACATGGCATACCCCAAGATATTGTTTCTGACAGGGGTCCGCAATTTGTTTCACGGTTCTGGAGGGCATTTTGTAAACAATTTGGTATCAACCTCAATCTTTCTTCTTCTTACCATCCCCAATCGAATGGGGTTAAGGAAAGGATGAATCAATGTCTTGAGCAGTATATCCGCTGTTTCATGTCAGAACATCAAGACGATTGGGTAGAATTGCTGCCATGGGCTGAACTTGCCCATAATAATCAGGTGCATGAATCTACTCAACACAGCCCCTTTTTTTATCAATTATGGTTTTAACCCTACTACACTTCCGAGTTCTTTTTCGTCTACAGGAGTGCCAAGTGTTGACAGCACTATCAAGGATATGAAACAGACTTGGTTAGAAGTTAAACATATTTTGATTCAAAAGGCCAAAGTTCCAAAAAGTTATGCGGATAGGCATCAAAGGGCTGCCCCCTCATTCGTGGCAGGAGACAGAGTATGGTTGAGTACTCGTAACATAAAACTTAAAGTCCCTTCCATGAATTTTCCCCACGTTTTATAGGGACGTTCCAAATTCTTAAACGCATCAACCCTGTCTGTTATAGCCTGCGTTTGACGCCTGCCATGAAGATACTTAACTAATTTCATGTTTCCCTTCTCAAACCTTTAATATGTAATAATTATACTCAAAGACCCTCAAAACCTCCTCTTGCTCTCGTTGAGGACCAAAGCGAATACGAAGTGAAATCCATTTTAGATTCCCGTGTTTCTAGGGGAAAACTTCAATATCTCATAGATTGGAAGGGATACGGTCCCGAAGAACATTCATGGGTGGATGCCTCTGATGTTCACGTCCCTCGCCTGATTAGTTTATTTGAGAGGCGGCGTTCTCGCTGGTCGGGTTCTACCCGCCCTGAGGGCGGTTCTCGAAGGGGGGTACTGTAACGACACCTTATCTTTCCTCTTCAGACCCACGCAGCACAGCGTTCACTCCACTCGCTTCCGGTGAGCGGCGCAGCCATTCTGATGCTGGCCGCTCACAACATGCCCACATTTATGAAACGGCACATGCGCACCGTAGTCGGCAAGATAATGCCGACGTAGTTCAAACGTGACCACGCTCCCGGACCTTTTGGGGGCGTGGTTTTAAAGCTATAAACCCCACACTATATAAGGACGACCCTGTTAATTGTCAGGCGCCCTAGTGTGGTCTTGTTGGTTCCTCTAGTGCTTCTTGATATCTTGAGTGTTTTCCTGGCATTTGACTATTGGCGTCCCATTTTGACTATTCTACTCTCTTGTTCTCCGTATATTGGCTTGGTTATATCATTTGTCCATCTTCTGTACTCCCTTGACCTCTGGCTATCTCTTTGACTACTCTCAGACGTTAGTCCGGCCACTCTAAGGTCCGGTATACATCTTCCTCTGGGTTATTCTCCGTGTGAAGGGGTCACTGTAGTGACAGTTACTCCTTGAGGTTTTCTAAGCTGAGCTGTGTCAGGAATCCAGCCACAGGCTTTTCTGTCCGACCAGCTTCTTTCTTCAATACATCGCCGCAGATAGCGTCCAAGTGACTCACAAACCATAAGTCGACCTACCTGTTACGCCAGGCATCAGTCCCACGGCAGCATGCATGGGTCAGGTCCTCACTTTACGGCTGCATTCGTCTTAGTCTGTTCTAAAACCATTGCAGATTCGTGCATATCATTCATTTAAACTCACTTGTTTATATCGGTCTCTGGCTCATTTCGAGCATTAGCATACTCCCGAATGGGAACACATTCTGTTTAATTCAATAGATAGGTGCACAATATGGAGTTTGACAAAATCTCAAGTGAAGCTCAAACACCTTAAGTGGTATCCCTAAACCACCTCTACAAGATACATAGAAAAACATACATACATAAGGTGGAGCTACTTGTATACACATTCAGAAGATATCTGCAATTATATAAATACAGAACACAAATAGTTCAATATTGCCATAACAAATATAGTCTTATAAAAAGGCGTATATGGTGTCACTCACAAGTCTAGAGTCATAAACCACATATGACTCAGATGGTAAGCGCTTGTGGACAATTCCAGGATGCCCAATCCTTTCTTTTCCTCTTAATTCTGCTGGAAACCTGGTTTCTATAACTCTTTAAAGCAGTATTGGTCTTCCAGTGCTCCCAATATTAAATGTGTATATATAGGGTACCACAGCCAAGGTCTCATAAATAATATGCCTTTATTCGTAATCCCTAATACATATTTGTTAAAAAAATATAGTGAAAATTATTTGATATAAAATAGATATAAATATCAGGTACAAATGTCCAAATAAATGTCCAAAACGCATTTCGCCCTTAAATGGGCTTCCTCAGTTGGTTGGTTATGTCTCTTCTCCTTCTTGGCTATTTTAAATAGTTTTACAAATCCCTAATTTCCGGGTTCTTCATTCCCGGTTATTTTTCACTTCCGGGTTCCGGTTGTGTGTAGTTGGAACGCAATTTGCGTTTCACCATTGTCCTTCCGCA